GCAAATCTTCTTTTTATATACAAAGAAAAATTAGGATATAAAGATACTATTACCTTTGAGACATAGTTACTATTCCTTGGAAGATTGTAATAGACGCCGGTATGGAATTAAATACGCAGATTTCTCGAAAGAGAAAAATCAGTGCACGCTGCTCAATGATTCATGACGTTCGTAAATTCGTTGCGTACAGAGCCCTTAAGGATTCGAGAGGAAGCGACGAGGATCCGCCGCGACAGTACGTGCGCTCACAACTGAATTAGCCGCATCATTGTCTGAATGAGAAAAGAGACAGAGAAATATTAAGTGAATGTAAATACGGTAAAAATCCATGCGTCATCCGGTTGACGATCGCCGTCGATATTTCCGAGGGCAAATATCCAAGTAATCGATGATATGTTCGTTGAAATAACGCTAATCGATGAACTGTTGAACAACAAATATCGCGAAATTGATCTTTTCAAAAGTTTAGGATACGCTTCATTTTGAATTCTAAAGAAATACACGTTTCCACATAGAAATATAAATGTTAAACAAGTGTAGGAGTCCACAATTTTTGTTTCGATATAATATAGACAAAATTTATCGTTTAAACATTCTTTTCAAATGCAATATAGGCGGAGTCCATCATTTTTTATTTTTCAATATTAAATTAAATATAATATACACTACCGGCCAAAAAATTCGCAGAAAAAAGTCGAGCAGCTTTAAGAATTTTTTAACGAATTTTGTATCATTCAAATCGATCGATATGAGATAAATTGCTATTTATCTCCACAATACCAATATCAAGTCTATGAAAAATTAGTAGCAGATTCGGTACCGATGACAATCGGGAGGTGATTCGAAACTTTTGGCCGGCAGTGTATGCAGAAAAATTGCAAAACGTGGAGTTGTCGGTAAAACACCAGTCATGTGCTTTGGTACTATTATAAAATCAGAAAAATTGTGGAAAGTGTAATCAGTTTGGCCTCCGAACGGTTCAAACATGGAATTTAGAAGTTTCAAATAAGTTGACTAAATAATACGCTTCATTTGAAAATTACAAAAATCCTGTCCATACATATTTCAACGAGTACATCGAATCATTTAGAATTTCAGATAGTTCTTTTCTCCTTGGGAAAATAAATTCCTCTCCGACGATTTCGGTATTTGTCTAACATAGCATTTGCCGTTCGTTCGAACCTTTATAACGCGGAAGGCCAAGCAGCCCGACCGATAACTTTCTCCCATTGAGAAGTCCGCCATACACGGGCAAGGAATCTATCGATAGTCGTGCTTGGGATTCATTACTGAATTCCCTGGCGTATTCTTCTAAATTAGTTCTCCTCCAATTAAACGGACGCCATTTTGGTCGCGTCTCGAGTCACCGGAAGTTTTCAGCCAGAGCTTTCTGAATTCAATTCTGACGAACTATGATCGATGTACAGAATGAGCCGCGTAAAAAGATTGAATTACGGAAGTACGAGAAAATTTGTGTAATTAATTTAAACGATCTCGAAGTGTGAATAACATAAAAGAAAAATTTTAATTTTTACCATAGTGGTCATTCTCGAGACTTGTAAAAATGAAAAATATTCAACGGCATAATCTTTGCAGAAAAGAAAGAATCCTCGTTCCAGAAAATAAAACGATACTGTGTATTACCGAAGCAGTTAAGTTAAATGGGTTTTAATATCGCATAAAAATCCCTCGAATTACACTACGCGTTTACTGTTAATTAACCGTTTAAGTGTAAAGCTGAAAACTGGAACCATTTCCATGAGACTGTAAAAGGATAAATTCTGAAAGAAAAAAAGATGCTCGTAAGGTGAATTAAAAGAGAAAAAAAACAAAAAAAAAATAGCTGCTTCTGGAGAGCGCCATTTCGATAAGTTATTTAATCCGATCGATGTAATTTATTCAGACTGGGATTATCGTAATTTAATTAGACCACCTGGAGCGGGAACGCGTCGCGTGCAAATGCATCCGTGTAACTTCTCCGATGCTTGTTTCTTCGCTCCCCTTTCCTATCTTCCTTGAAAATTACGACGTCGTCGACGTGATGCAATTCGTCCTGGCTACCGTACCTTGTGTACGAATCAGCTTTTATTATCCTCGCGATGCAAACAGAAACAGGGGTAGCTTATAGTCATTAAGACCACCTGGTGCAACCGCCATAATGAATATTCCGCGAATACACAACAGGGAATGGCTGTTGAACCTTGGGAAATCTCGTGCAAATCGAACAAGTTTGATGAATTCATTTCTTCTGCTTGCGTCTTGGGTTTTTGTTCATCTAACGATTCGAGGTCTTCGCGCACTTCTACTGAGAATTTCAGTTTTTGTCGGTGGCTTGGAAGAGGTTTCTTTGCAATCCATATTTTCGTACGTCAATACTGTTCAAATGTTAGAAGATAGAAGATCTCGACGACTTTATCGATTTTCAATTTTTTCAAAGGGGGAAGTTGTCAGTTAGCCTATAAATGAAAGAGGATCGTCCAAAATAATGGATATAGTATTCATCTGGAAATACGCTATACAGTAAATTCTCTACAAGTGTCAGTCAGTTTAGATTCTACAAGTGTCAGTATAGATGGTCCTACGCCTAGGTCTGCGTCATTGCTGCGCCTATGTTATCCTCGCTCGCTGTCAGTCAAGCATGTAACGCTACACTACTCGGTTTCTTTTACGAGATTTCACGGCTGGACAATTCATAATAGAAAAATATAATGTAGGACCGATTCTACAAGTGTCAGTCAAATGTAGGGCCGATTCTACAAGTGTCGGTCAAATGTAGGGCCGATTCTACAAGTGTCAGTCAAATGTAGGGCCGATTCTACAAGTGCCAGTCAAATGTAGGGCCGATTCTACAAGTGTCAGTCAGACGGCAGGCCAATTCTCCAACTGGCAGTCAAACGGTAGGCCGACTCTATGTAATGTAATACAGGGCGTCTGTTTTATCTCAATACAGTGAAATATCTGGCGTGACAATGAACGTGTTGTTTAAATTATGTCGTGTTTGATGTCATTTTCATCAGAAAAATCTCATCAATATGTTAAGAAAAATTTCGGGATAAAAAAGTTTTATTCGCTGTCTTTGTCTACGTTCGGCAAACTACAAAGGCGGGCGCGAGGCTCGAAAACGTAGCCCTGACTCTACAAGTGTCAGGTTTAGATTCCTTGCGGACTGACACTTGTGGAGAATTTACTGTATTTCTTTTAGAGTATCTTCAATTTTTTGTTTACAATTTGAGAATATAAAGCGTGGCTTCCTCCACAAACTGATTTTCCCAAAATTGCTTCCTACGAGAACGACAAATCGCCTTTCAACAATAAACACTTCAATTAGTAACGATACTTCCGCTAAAAATCTCACTCTGCCGCTCTTAACGTCTCGCAACACCAAACAAAATTCTTCAACCACCACTTGCGTCGTATTCACGAAACCTCGACTGGTTTCTTCCAAACAAATTGGTCCAGGGCGAAAATGGCAGGCATCCAGGGAACGTCAACCGGTGGTTTCGTCAACGTCAATCAGCCTTCACTCACGGCTTCCACGAACCGCGATAATCATCGACCGAGTTCTAATTACCGGCGATAATTGGCGTGATTATCGGTGCTCGCGGATCACCGTTCAGGTCGGATAAGAAAGCGAGAGGAAAAAAGCGCAAAGAGTCGATCGATCAAAGATGCAATTAACGCTGAACCAGGGCCTGGCCCATCTAGATCTCCTATCCACGCTTGCTGTTGCGTCTAATTGAGGCTAATTGCCATGGTCGCCCGGACTGACGACTTTATCCTCTTCGACTTCGAGGATGTTTGTAATTTCGAGGATTGCCTTTAACGCGAAAAAAAGCGGTTTCCTCCGAATGATCGCCGGGGTGGAGGCTATGGCGTTACACCTCTTCAAACCAGCTCGATCGAGAGAAAATTCTCTTTGGAATCTGCTTACGAATCCGTGGCAGGAAGTACCTATAGGTTCGTGCAAAACCACTGAAAATTGTTCGCCAACGGAATAATAGGCGCCATTTTTGAAGGAAGCTATTAATCCTGAATTTTTTATGCTTCGTTGGACTGGATGATGAGATGTTACTTTACCGTTCCGTGCTTGTTAGTCGTCGTAAATTGGCGTTTCGTGGAATTTCGGTGTAAACAGATTGAAAGATTGTATGGTTAATCGTATCGAACGGCGTTACGGTGATTATGGAGGGAAGAGAGATTCAGGGAGGTGATTTTAGAGGGTTGTTTTAATTCCTCTGTAGTTTTAACCCCTTGTTTCGTGATTCTTTTATGACTACATATGTTTGTCTTAGCTTCTGACCTAACTTAACAAAATGTAGTATTTAGACAGTAGTGATCTAAATTTATAAAGAATATTTCACTAATTAAGAATATCTGACCATTGTGATAATTAACCCTTTGCAGTTGAGCAACGACATTAAATAGTTGTCACTTGGTAAATAATTGTGCAAGACAGAGAGCAGATCTATGGGCCTCCGTAGTGAAATAAATAATACATTGAATATTTAAATAAAATAGTACAGTGCATTTCTACGTTAGTTTGAAAAAATTTGAAAGGTCAGATTTGCAATCTTTCCTACAGCAAAGGGACCTCCGAGTGCAAAGGGTTAATTTATTCAATCTTCTAGAACAATTTCATCCTTAATTTTCGTTTCCAAACACATCCTTTCCCATTTATAGGAAACTGAGAGGTGCAAAATTACACAGAATGCAGGTAATATGAAAATATATCCAAATTACAGTGCTTTTTATAGTAGATGAAATAATTTTCTACCGAAATTTTATTCGATATTCTCAAAAATATGAACTTGCATAAAAATCCGCAGACCGCTTACTGTCAGCCAAATCGATAGACTCGTCACTTTCAGTACCAGCAAAGATCCTTCAATTCTGCCAAGTGTTCCAATCGAAGTCCAGGACCCAAAGTTCCCAATTCGCGTTACCAAAGACTCCAACCCCGAGGAAACCTCTCACCAAGCATTCTCGTTCTTTCTTTCCAGGTTTCACGGGTACCCAGTGTGAAATCGACATCGACGAGTGCGCCGCAAAACCGTGCTTGAACGGCGGCATATGCACCGATCTGATAAACTCCTTCAAATGCACTTGCGCGAACGGTTTCGCCGGTTCTCATTGCCAGATCAACATAGACGACTGCGCCTCATCGCCGTGCAAGAACGGTGGCAGTTGCCAGGACTCCATAGCGAAGTACACGTGCGACTGCCCGCCAGGATTCACAGGAGCCTCGTGCGAGACGAACATCAACGACTGCCAATCGAATCCATGCCACAGCGGCACCTGCATCGACGGCGAGAACAGCTTCAGCTGCAACTGCTTTCCAGGATTCACCGGGAAATTGTGCCAGACGCAGATCGACGAGTGCGAGAGCAATCCATGCCAGTTTGGAGGAAGGTGCGAGGATCGTATTAACGGGTACCAATGTATTTGTAGGCCTGGAACGTCTGGGACGAACTGCGAAGTGAACGTGAACGAATGCTATAGTAATCCGTGTAGGAACGGGGCGAGATGCATCGACGGGATCAACAGGTGAGTCAGTGGATTCTTGATTATGGTTGGGGTCGTCTACGGGGAATTGGAAGCTTTCGATGAGACTGTTAACGCATATTTGCTGATACACGGTGTGTTAGGTCGTTGCAGATGAAATGATCGAGGTGTTGACGAGTAACTTTTTAAATATTAGTATTTATCAATCGGAGAATGATCTATGATGCTTATGTTATGCGAGGTGATTTGTACTTTGTTTTAAATCCTCTATAACGTTAGGTGACTTGGAACGTTAGGTGTCTATTGATGTATATTTCATGGTCTCGTTTTATTTGATTTCCTTTCGGGCAAAATCAATTTTTGTCCAATTACAAAGGGAGCAGTGCAGTTTGATCAGCAATCTGCTGTTCGAGAGTGAAACAATTGGACGATTTTGCGTTAGCTTCGAGCTGTAAATTGACGTACTTATAACAAGTTAGGTGTATTTAAGAACGAAATTCTCAAATCGGTCATTTCACATGTAGCAGCCTAATATCTATCGATGGGAATTAGTTGACCTGAGACTTTTTCGTAAGATGAACGCTAACTTGACACAATGTGATTGGTATTTTGTAAATATGATTTTTATCAGATTCTTTGGTAAAGTTTGAATTAAAATATGACGTTTCTTGGTGAACTTTCAATTCAGGTTAAGTCAACATTGACCCTTCCGTGAGTGAATTAGTTTTTTGAAAGAATTTCTTATTTATCTACAGATTATCACGTCTATAAGGAACACTAAATTCAAATCAATCTTTGTTCGAGTATGTAAGTGATAGAAAGGGTTAACTCAGTATAACAATTTTATCGAGAACAGTGCATTGATTCGGTAAAATGAACCTCTACTCCTAGTCGGTATTTTTAATTTCTCGGTGAAGTTTAACTTTGATTACCAATTTGAAAGCAAACTGCATCGACGATCGCAGAATCCAAAAATTCCAATCAAATTCCCAAATTCTTGTTCATTCTACCCCCGAAAAAGGTTCTCATCGTCGATAAAAGAAAACACCCAGCGAAGAAAATCAAGTTACAAAACACGAGCGCAAATCAAACGAACTTATTATCAGAATCTGGCAAAATTGAGCCACCAAGGGTGGTCCGTTTTCTCCCCCCTCCCCTCCTCTGTCACTCACACGTTTCAACCGATGAAAACGAGACGGAAGAAGTCCCCGTATCGCGAAAATACCCAATCTGGCAAAATCTGTTTCCGCTCTAACCTTGTCGTTGCTTCCATCCTCAGTGGACACGGTGTGTTTCCTTTCAGGTACTCTTGCGAGTGCGAGCCAGGCTTCACAGGGCATCACTGCGAGACGGACATCAACGAGTGCGCGAGCAACCCTTGCGCGAACGGTGGACGATGCATAGATCTGATAAACAGCTTCCGGTGCGAGTGTCCTCGCGGCTACTACGACGCTAGATGCTTGAGCGACGTGGACGAATGCGCCAGCAATCCTTGCGTGAACGGTGGCACCTGCGAGGACGGTGTCAACCAGTTCATCTGTCACTGTTTGCCAGGCTACGGCGGCAAGAGATGCGAGGCGGACATCGACGAGTGCGGCTCGAATCCTTGCCAGCACGGTGGCACATGCAACGACCACCTGAACGGGTACAGTTGCAAGTGTCTGGCCGGTTACGCCGGCACGAACTGTGAGACGAACATCGACGATTGCGCGAACAATCCTTGCCAGAATGGCGGTTCTTGCATCGACCTCGTCAACGACTACAAGTGTGTCTGCGAGCTGCCTCACACCGGCAGGAACTGTGAGGACAAGCTGGACCCTTGCTCGCCTAACAAGTACGGATTCGTATATCTCGCTTGACCGAACTTTACGAGGGAGTCTTTTCAGCCAGCGTTTGTCTGATGATTCGTGGAAGGATTGATTTGGAGAATGTTTTCTCGGAGATTTTATTTGGGAACTCTGTAGAGCGCAGAGAGAGAGAGAGAGAGAGAGAAAGAGAGAGATAATTTCGTCAACTTAAGATTAGAAGTAGAAAATTCAACTCTGTTTTATAGATTCTGCATAATTTATCGAGCATGTTGTTACACAGAATGACGATTTCATTGCCGACCGTGCACAAGACTGCGATGTTTTCAAACTATTTTCGTTAACGTCAACTCTGTGTTATTTTACTGCTCGTTGTTGTTCTTTCTCTGGAGCGATTGTAACAATTCTGCTTTATGGTTACAGATGCCTTCACGGTGCGAAGTGCTCGCCATCCTCGAACTTCCTCGACTTCGCCTGCACTTGCACGGTCGGCTACACTGGTAGATTATGCGACGAGGACGTCGACGAGTGTGTAATGACGTCTCCGTGTAGAAACGGGGCTACTTGCAGGAACACCAATGGCTCTTATCAATGCGTCTGTGCGAAAGGATACGAAGGACGAGATTGTATCATTAACACCGACGATTGCGCTTCCTGTAAGTATAAAACGTCGAATTTCTAACTTACCATAGTCTTGTGACTTCCGAGAAACTTTCACAGGACACTGTGTAACACAAGCTTTTCTAATTTTCAGTCCCCTGTCAGAATGGTGGCACTTGTTTGGACGGTATCGGTGACTATACCTGCCTCTGCGTGGACGGTTTCAGCGGTAAACACTGCGAAATCGACGTGGACGAATGCTTGTCGCAACCGTGTCAAAACGGTGCTGTTTGTAAGGAATACGTGAACTCGTACACTTGCCAGTGTCAGCTCGGATTCTCCGGTATAAATTGTCAGACGAACGACGAGGATTGCACGGACAGTAGTTGCATGAACGGTGGCAAGTGTATCGACGGTATCAACAACTATACTTGCGTCTGTAAACCTGGTTACACAGGTTCGAACTGTCAGTATCGTATCAACGAATGCGACAGCTCTCCTTGCTTAAACGGCGCCACTTGCCACGATCACGTTCAGTATTACACCTGTCACTGTCCATACGGGTACACCGGAGCTAGATGCGACCAGTACGTCGACTGGTGCGTGGATAATCCTTGTGAAAATCAGGCTACCTGTGTCCAGCACAAGAATAAGTACCACTGTAACTGCTCGCCCGGTTGGACTGGCAAAGTTTGCGACGTTGAAATGGTATCTTGCAAGGATGCGGCTATAAGGAAAGGAGTACCGGAGAAGAACCTCTGTAACAACGGCACGTGCGAGGACATAGGTAACAGTCACCGTTGTCACTGTCTCGAAGGATACACAGGATCGTATTGTCAAGAGGAAGTGAACGAGTGCGACTCTGCTCCTTGTCAAAACGGCGCGACCTGTAAGGATCTCGTTGGATCGTATCAGTGTCAGTGCACGAAAGGTTTCCAAGGGCAGAACTGCGAGCTTAACGTGGACGATTGCAGGCCTAATCCTTGTCAGAACGGCGGTACATGTCACGATCTTATCAGTAACTTCAGTTGCTCTTGTCCACCTGGCACTTTGGGCTTCATATGCGAGCTGAACGTCGACGACTGCGCTATCGGTACTTGTCACAACAACGGAACGTGCACCGACAAGGTTGGCGGCTTTGAATGCAAATGTCCACCGGGTTTCGTGGGACCTAGGTGCGAGGGAGATATCAACGAATGTCTCTCCAATCCGTGTGCTTCGCCAGGTACGCAAGATTGCGTGCAACTGGTCAACAACTATCACTGCAACTGCAAACCCGGCTACATGGGGCGTCACTGCGAGGTGAAAGTGAACTTCTGCGACAGTTCACCATGCCAGAACGGTGGTGTTTGCACCGCGAAACAAGCTGGACACACTTGCCTTTGTCCCAGTGACTATTATGGAAACAACTGCGAGTTCGCGGGTTCCTATTGCGATAGAGAGCCTTGCTTGAATGGAGGTACCTGCAGAGTGGCTGAAACTGATGTTGGATACAGATGCTATTGTCCTCCTGGAACAACTGGAACTCACTGTGAGATCGACGCTAGGGATGAATGTGCCAGTAATCCGTGTCAACAGTCTAATGCCGTTTGCAAGAATCTTCTTGGTGATTATGCCTGTGACTGTCCGCCTAAATGGACAGGCAAGAACTGTGAAATTTACGACCCTAACTATGGAGGAGGAATCTTTGGCAGTCCTAATTCGAACGTTCCAAAAACTATGAATGCGTATGATCTTGATCTGGAATTGGAGAGAAAGAAATGCATTGAGAATAGATGCGAGGAGAAGTCTGGTAACCATCATTGCGACGAGGAATGTAACAGATACGCTTGCAACTTTGATGGAAACGACTGTTCATTGGGCATCAATCCCTGGCGCAATTGCACTGCTCCTATCAACTGTTGGGACTTTTTCATGAACGACGTTTGCGACGAAGTTTGCAACAATGCTCAGTGCCTGTTTGATGGAAGAGACTGCGAGAGAAAGTTGGCCCCATGCAAGTAAGTGAACTTATCATTATTGGACCAGGTGTAAACAGAATTTTTCATTGGTAACTTTGTCTAATTATTGTTTTATTTTTACAGTCCCATCTACGATGCCTACTGTCGCAAGCACTATGCCAATGGCCACTGTGATTACGGCTGCAACAACGAAGAATGTAACTGGGACGGTCTCGACTGTGACAGAGAGCCACCATCTCTAGCAGAAGGTGTGATCTCCGTAGTGGTAAGGATGGACATGCAAACGTTCCGCTCAAACGTAGTGGCCTTCCTGAGAGACATTGGCCACGAATTAAGAACCACGTTAAGAGTGAAACAAGACGAGCTTGGAAACAACATGATATACCCCTGGAAAAGAGAAAGAGATCCTGGTTTGCAAACTAACATCTTTGGCCGACCAACCACGATCTACACCAACACTCAAAGCGGCGTGATCGCCTATTTGGAAATCGACAACAGAAAATGTACCGTCACCCAAGGAGCAGTATGTTTCCCTTCAGCCAACGAGGCAGCAGAATACCTTGCAGCCACTGCATCCAAACACTCCCTATCCCGAAACTTCCCCATCGAACAAGTTCGAGGTGTAGTTGGTCCGCAAGGTCCAGAGTATCCCGATACCCCAACCAACTACAAGTATGTCTTCATCGGAGTCGTGATCGTGGTACTTGGAGGAATGTTAGTCGGTGTCCTTGTCACGGCGCAAAGGAAACGTGCAGTGGGAGTCACCTGGTTCCCAGAAGGATTCCTGCGCACCAACAGCGGCAGCGGACAACGTCGTAGATCAAGAAGACGCGGTCCAGACGGTCAGGAGATGAGGAACTTGAACAAACAGCCTTCGGTGAACTGCATGGATCTTGACGTAGGAAATGGTAGAGCGCAGCAATGGTCGGACGATGAATCAGATCTCCCACCTTCGAAGAGGATGAGGGCAATAGAGCCTGGATACGCCAGCGATCACACTGCCATTACGGATTACGAAGAAACAGAACCTCGAATGTGGACTCAACAACACTTGGACGCGGCAGAGATACGCAGACCTGACGCTGGTGTCTTGACACCGCCTAGCCTCGAACATGGCCAAGACGTAGACGCCAGAGGACCTTGTGGAATGACACCATTGATGGTAGCTGCTGTACGAGGCGGAGGATTGGACACAGGAGAAGAGGAGGATGAGAGCGACGGTACAGCCGCGGTGATCGCTGATTTAGTTGCTCAGGGAGCAGACCTGAACGCTACCACAGACAAGAGTGGCGAGACGTCTCTTCATCTGGCGGCCAGGTACGCCAGAGCTGACGCAGCGAAGAGGCTCCTCGACGCGGGAGCAGACGCCAACTCTCAGGACAACACCGGCAGGACGCCTCTTCATTCCGCCGTCGCTGCCGATGCAATGGGAGTTTTCCAGATACTGTTAAGGAACAGAGCGACAAATCTGAACGCTCGTATGCACGATGGAACAACTCCGTTGATCCTGGCCGCTCGTTTGGCCACCGAAGGCATGGTGGAGGATCTCATAAACGCGGACGCTGACATTAACGCAGCTGACAACAGTGGCAAAACCGCTCTCCACTGGGCTGCAGCTGTCAATAATGTCGACGCTGTGAACATACTTCTCGTCCACGGCGCGAACAGAGACGCCCAAGACGACAAGGACGAAACACCGTTGTTCCTCGCCGCCAGGGAAGGCAGTTTCGAAGCTTGTAAAGCGTTGCTCGACACGTTTGCCAACAGGGAGATCACCGATCATATGGATCGATTACCTAGAGACGTGGCCAGCGAGAGATTACACCACGATATCGTGAGATTATTGGATGAACACGTGCCTAGATCGCCGCAAATGGTGAACGTGATACCAAACGGTCCTCTAATGGGTAAGGATCCTTTCGTTACATTCCTGAAATATATACATGTCGTATACAGATTCAGTGGAATTAAAACTCCCAATTCTTTTTCCTACAGGCTCCCCAAATCACCCACAACTCATCACGCATCCTACGGTGATCGGTTCCGCCCCGAAGCAAGCAAAGTCCAAGAAGCGGCCAAAAACAGGGACAACGGGGAATCCAAACAGTCCCGAATCGGAAGGCGGTGTGGTAGTAGTGAGGCGAAAACCGTCGGTAAAAAAGCCACCGGCAAAGCGCGGCGCTCAGCCCCCAAACCAAGAGATTCCTCAAGGTGCGGAGGGCGCAGAGGGAAATCTACCGAGTCCCTACGACAGTGCGAGCCTGTACAGCAACGCGCTTCCGTTAGTGGGTCACACGGCAACGGCGAAGCAACCGCCGCCGTACGAGGACTGCATAAAGGGCCAGTCCATGCAGGGCCTTCAACAGTTAGGCCTGGACACGTTCACGACCAACTACGGGTTGCCTAACTTTCACGACCAACTGCTAGCGCCGCACCAGCGGCAGGCGCAGGGTATGGTGAACACATTGTCGCCGCCTTATAGCAATCAGTCACCGCCACACTCGGTGCAGTCGAACATGACCCTGTCGCCACAGGCGAGCTACATGGGCTCGCCATCCCCGGCGAAAAGTAGGCCGTCGTTGCCTACTTCCCCCACCCATATTGCTGCCATGAGACAGGCGACGCATCAGAAGCACGGTGGCATGCCACCGGTGGGTTTCGACTTCGAGAATCTCCCCTACTCGTCGAGTCAGCAGCAACAACAGCAGCAACAGCAACAGCAGCAACAGATGCAGCAGACGCAACAGCAGATCCAGCAGCAGCAGCAGCAACAACAACAGAGCACGCAGCAGCAGCAACAACAGCAACAGCAAGCTCAACAACAAACGCAACAATACTACCAGTACTTGACGCCACCTTCCCATCATTCTGGGCCAGATGTGACGCCGCAACATCTAATGCAAGCGCCGGAAAGCTTCCCGACACCGTCCCCGGACAGTCCAGGCCACTGGTCCTCCAGTTCGCCGCACTCGAACAGTGATTGGTCCGAGTGCATGGCGTCGCCGAACGCGTACGGCGCCGGAGCCGCTCACCAAAGCAATAAGGGCTCCGAGGCGATCTACATATGAAGGCGGCGATGCTCTCTTGCTCGCGCGAGTAAGTCGTAAGCCGTGAGAAACGGCACGCACTAGAACTGTGATTAACTCGTCGAGTTCGAGGGCGATTCTCGCCGATGATGTATTTCTTTTCTCTCTCTTTTTGTTGTTGAATGGGCATCTCTGTGTGTGGGAGAGATCCATACGACGAACGCTCTCTCTAAGGTCAATTAGTTTAACGATGCGCCGGTGCCGTTTCGTGTCTTGCTACGGGGGAGCATCAGCGAATGCGTACACTACTACAACAGCTCTATATATACATATAGATATTTATGAATATAAATATAGATGGATAATTATATATGTATATGTATGCGAGGAGATATTTTTGTTCTTCGAACGAAGGAGGACACAGCACATATACACATACGCACAAGCACACACCGTTTACGTAGGTCGTTCAACGATTGTGCCTTTTTTCTTGGAGAGCGAAAACGACGGTTTAAATAGGAATAACGATACGTGATCGAGATATATAGTAGACGATGTACTCTGCAAAATCTGCTCGTGCATCCACGGCTCAACGAACAATGGTGCCTTCGACTTGCCACAGTGTGAAGACCCGATAGACAGTTCTTTCTTTTTAAAATAATAATAAGGAACGAGACCTTGCTATCTACAATAGTATTGTACATAGGACAATATATGGATTACGGAGAATCGTTCACGCTGACACGAGTGTGTTCGACGGGGACCACTAATAGAGTGTAATATGTAATATTCTATTTAAATATGTAACGCACAACATTTTTCATGAACGGGGAAAAGAAGGAGAGATCGTATTTTTTTTTTTTTTTGTCCGGATCGATGCGCGCGAAGAGCTTCGATCGACTCGCGAGAGAGAGGCACTGTTCGACGTCTCTGTAACACGTGAAACAGCGTAGAGAAGCAGAATAGGAGAATCCGAACGAAGTTACACTGCGTCCAACAGAATATCGAGAATCGTGCCTTCGAATATCGTAGGGTATAAGGAATTCTTGCGTAGGTAAATCTATTAAATTATGTGTCTTGATGAAACGCAGCGTTTCCAAATGGCCTTTCAACACCGATTTATCACCGATTCGCGCGAGGCATACTATTACATGTAAGATACAAAGGCAACGTAATTTTTGTACGGTCGACGGGAGCCTCAGAGAATTCGTCTTCACCCCGCGAACCAATCGTTCCATACACAGACATTCCATTCGAGTGACGCGCTATTTTTCATCTTTTTTTTAATATCTCTATTCTTTACTCCTATCGATTACTCAATAAGCGAGGAGTACCCGCGGATCGATTGATCAAATTTTCGTATGCTCATCTTAAAGAACGAGAACGAAGGAACGTCTGTCTGTCTGTACACGCTTTCTCTTCGTCTCTCTTTGCCGAAGAGATGAATTTTTCGAATGTTTAAAGATTTCGTTCGACGAAATATCCACGGGTACGTCTTGCGTTTTGCTATCTCTTGAATCATTTACTACTATTAACGAGCTAGCGTAATCGTTGATGTTAATTACCTTGTAAAAGCGTGCGCGTAAAATAGATTGCTGGTTTAAAATAAAATTAAGCACGAACGGGCGGTAAGACGATTCGCTGATCTCTCATCTGCCAAAGCCAAAACGAGAGAGAGAGAGAGTTTTTCTTCTAGATAAAAAGTGCGTAATCGGCTGCGTGACTAGATCTGGTGGTATGTACGCATAATAGGATTAGGCATTAATCGTAGATTGTTGCGAGAGAAAAGAGGCAATTATCGTCGATACTTCGAGGAAGATGAAGCTCGTGTGCGCTTTTGCAATATAATGTCCACCAGTGACGCGACAATTTATACAGAGACACCGATAATCATGTTTTCTTTTTTCTTTCGAATCTTTATCTCGTTCGCTTATTTTATTTTTTTTTTTTCTCTCTCTAAAAAGGAAATGTGTAAATACTCTCTTATATGTTTGTTTTTTCTCTCTCTATCGACTGCTGTCCCTTCACCATTCTGTCCGCTCATCTAACGTACTACCGAATACTTTTTTATATAATTGTCTTTTCTCTCGATTTTGTACAAAACTGTTTTTACATATTTTTTTATATTATGTAAGCTAGATTATCGATAGTTTGGTAAGGCGATTTCCCGCATAACAGTAATAACGTTTCCTTTTTATCGTATTATACTATGAATCATAGAGA